GGCCCCTGTGACCTTGACCTTTAACCCAATGCCCTGAAAATCAATAGGTGTTAAGACTAACCTTCATCCCATATGAAGACTGAGGGTCAAAGGATGCTTAAGTTATTGGGCGGACAAGCTTGTTGAAGTCAAGGCCCCTGTGACCTTTACCTCTGACCTGTTGACCTCAAAATTGATGGGGTCATCTACTAATCATGACCAAACGAAATACCAAATGTCAAAGGAATCCTAAGCTCTCAGGCAGACAAATCTTTTTGTGTTAAGGCCCCTGTGACCTTGACCTTGGACCTCAAAATCTATAGGGGTCATCAAATAATCATGACTATCCTTCATGCCAAATATGAAGACTGGGTCAAAGTATTCTTAAGTCTTTGGGCAGATAAGCTTTTTTTAGTCAAGGCCACCAAGCGAAATATGAAGATTGTGGGTCAAAGGAATCTAAAGTTCTCGGGCAGAAAAAATTTTTTGTATCAAGGTTCCTGTGACCTAGACCTCTGACCTCAAAAGCGAAAGGGATCATCTATTAATCAAGACCAATCTAAATACCAAATATGAAGACTGTGGGTCAAAGGAATCTTAAGTTATTGAACGGACAAGGAAAAACCGACAGTCAGATGGACAAGCTAATTCCAGTATACCCTTACAACTTCATTGTGCTGGGGTATAAAAACAATGACCTTTACCCCAGCGGGTCCAAAAGCAATCTCATTGGGGTCTTCATATAAGCTTACTTTGTGCAAAGTTTAATTACAATATCTCATTTCTAAATATAGTTATTTTCCGACAACAATTTTTCTATTTTTTTAGTATCAGTGACCTTGACCCCAGAGGGACCAAAAGCAATCACAACCAGGGTCTTCATGTAAGTTTGCAATATACTCAGTTTTGATCATAATATCTCATTCCTAACTCTTGTTATTGTCAAGAAACCATGAAGTGGACTGATAGACTTACAGACGGAACAACCTCCAAGCTGACTTCTATATAGCACCCTAAACTTCCTTGGTGGGAGTATTACAAAAGATAAACTAACAACCCCCAAGCGGACTTCTTTATAGCACCCCAAACTTCGTTGCAACCCAAACTTCCTTGGTGGGAGTATTACAAAAGATAAACTAACAACCTCCAAGCTGACTTCTTTATAGCACCCCAAACTTCGTTGCAACCCAAACTTCATTGTTGGGAGTATTGCAAAAGATAAACTAACAACCCCCAAGCTGACTTCTATATAGCACCCCAAACTTCATTGGTGGGAGTATTAAACAAGAGGGCCATGATGGCCCTGAAGTCGCTCACCTGTATATAGGCCCCCAGAGTGGGGCCAGTTTAACCCAAGGGCTTTTATTTGAACAAACTTGGTAGACACCCATTACAAGATGTTTCATGCTAAACATCTTTGCAGTCTTTCCGAAAGACCGTCGGACCGTCGGCCCTGACCGGTAAAAAATCAGAAGGTAATTTTAAAAATTTTAAAGTTTTTTACGGCCCGGAAAAGGTCCGGGAAAAAATTAAGGGGTTTTTTAAAAAAACCTTTTCATTTAAAAAATTTTTGGGAAAGGCGAAACATTTTTCCTGAATTTTAAAAAAAATCAAAATTTTTGTCATTACACAATATAAAGCTCGTTTCAATGCTTTTTCAAAATGGTTTTTGCATTTTTTCATTAAATGCCAAAAATTTAATGTAACCCAAAAAAAGATAAAAAATTTTCCGACCCAAATATACCCAAATTAAAAATTTAATTTAAACGGCCCTTTTTAAAAAATTTCATAAGCGGGCCCAAAATTTTGAAAAGGGTTTAACCGCTATTAGTTTTTTTACAGAGATGAAAGCGTCAGTTTAAAATTTTGGGAAAAATTTTTTGTCTTAAAACCCAGACCCTTTGAGAAATGTTAAATTACATGTGTGCTCAACTGGTGTTTAGCTATGAAAGATCGTCCAAGATGTTTGAAAAAAATTAAACTTATACTGTGTGAAGGTACCAAAATCATTGAACAATTAAATCTGTCAACTTCACTAAAATTACCGATATATATAATTCTGTTTACATATGCCAAGACTTTTGCTGAAAATTTTTACCCTCTTCATTTTGCTTGTATGAAAATTAAAGTTTTAAATAGCAAAAATCCATTGAATACATGTATAACAATATTTATGTTTACATTTTGATTGTGGTGAAAAAAGATAACTTCACTTCGTTGATAATACCCAATTTTTTTCTTTTTTGTACCACAAAATTTTTTTGACTGCTGACACTCAAATTTGACTTCAAAATGCTATACCAATCAGGTTTTTTTCGGTCCAGTAAATCATGTTTGGTCCAGTAAAAATTTTCAGTTTACAGGACCTTCTGTCCAGTAAAACTCAGAAGTCTTTCGCATAGACTGTCTATGGTCTAGCTCGTTGAGTTTTTTAAAAAATGATTTTTAAGTTTTAACTATACACATATAGTTCAAAGCAATGACACCCCTAGGGCGAGGCCAGTTTTGCCCCAGGGCTTTTTAAAACAAACTTTGATGACACTCACTAGAAGATGTTTCATGCTTAATATCTAAACTCTAGCTATTTGGTTTTTTTCTCAAAGAAGATTTTTAAGTTTTTGCTAAACACATGTAAGGAAAATCAATGTCCCCCGGGGCAGGGCCAATTTTGACCCTAGGGCTTTTATTTGAACAAATTTTGAAGACACTAACTGGAAGATGTTTCATGCCTAATATCTTAACTCTAGCTATTTTTTTTTTTCAAAGAAGATTTTTTGCTATACACATAAATAAAATCAATGACCCCCAGGGCAAGGCCAATTTTGACCCCAGGGCTCTTATTTGAAAAAATTTGGTAGACACCCATAAGAACATGTTTCATGCTAAATATCTTAGCTCTAGCTATTTGGGTTCTTTAAGAGAAGATTTTATAAGTTTTTACTATATGCATATAGGGAAAATCAATGACCCCCTGGGGTGGGGCCAATTTTGACCCCAGGGCTTTTATTTGAACAAACTTGATATACACTCATTAGAAGATGTTTCATGCTAAATACTAGCTCTTTGGGTTCTTTAAAAGAAGATTTTTAAAGTTTTTACTATATGCATATAGGGAAAAACAATGACCCCCGGGGCGGGGCCAATTTTGACCCAAGGGCTTTTATTTGAACAAACTTGATAGACACTCACTAGAAGATGTTTCATGCCAAATATCTAAGCTCTACCTCTTTGGGTTTTTTAAAAGAAGATATTTTAAGTTTTATTTTAAGTTGCCATGCCAACCAGAGTTCTGCATGGAATTAAATTCTTTGAACAATTTTTAAAGGTGACCACCAAAGGAACATTCCTGTGAAGTTTGGATGAAATTGGCTCAGCGGTTTATGAGATGTCATTTAAAGTAAAAGTTTACGGACGACGGACGGACGGACGAAATGCGATCACAAAAGCTCACCCTGTCACTTTGTGACAGGTGAGCTAAAAAGATAAACTAAAACAATAAAAATAATTGGTATCACTTGAAACTTTCATCTATTTTCTACAACACAAGGGAACAATAACATATTCAAACAAAAGCATTTTTAAAGGCCAGATAAAAACCATGTGTTGGCCATTTTGAAAACATTATCTTAACATAAATCTTGTTGTATAGTCTGATTTTATTGACCTGTCAATTATGAATACATTATAGCACTCATTCAAATATTCGATCCTACTACGGTTTTGTCCATTTATTTTACGAGAATTAATATGGAGTATATAGCTAACTTTTGGAAAACTCCCACTAGCTTAATGTAGGTTCTCGTAACATCCGCAATAGCAAAGTCGGTTAAGTGATTACCTTACGTATGAAAGGTCCGACGTTCGATCCCTTCTTTTGACATTTTTTTAGACGTCACTTATTTTTAGACTTATTTTTCCTATATTTTTTAGTACATGTATATTATAATGAAAATGATCAAGCGCTTTCAGAATTTTCTACACAGAATTGATATGAAACAACTAAGAAACACTGACTTGTCACGTTTTGTATTGTATTTTACGGCACTGAAATGACATTTATTGATCTTAATCCGAATGAATTTTGAATATTAATTCTTTAACAATGTTATATACAAAAAGAAAGAATTAACAAAAAAGTGCAAAACCTATTAAAACAGAGAGAACAAACTTAAAAAATGTTGAAAATAGTTATAAATTAGAAAAAATGTCTGGACATACGCTGTCTCGATCTTAACACATCTCAACACGTAGGACATTTAGAAATTTAAACCCATAGTTTACCCTATTGCGCTATAACAGTCAGTGTAACTAATGCATAGAAACCAGATTAATTTAATCATATCTTACTGCTTAAATTTCACGGAATTAACCGAACATTTATCGAATATTAATATATTCTGTGCATTGACCGTATAATCAGTATGGAATTGACAGGTTAATAAAATCAAACAATACTTGGTGTTACACTCTTTCTTATTTTGCTTGTTTGTTTTGGGTTTTACATCACATCAACACAGTATAGGTCATATTGCGACGTCCCAGCTTTACTAGTGGAGGAAGACCTCAGGTGCCCTTCCATGCATTATTTCAGGCACGAACGGGTACCTGAGTGGAACCACTGACGTACCTTAAGCTAGCTGGATACTAGTTAGTTACTCTTTCTTACACTTTTGTTAAAACTACACATCTACTTAATGTTAAAGCAATATTCAAACTGTCTTTATCTTTGTAACAAAAAAATCATTTTTTCTCTATGAATAAGACCATTACAAAATGATAATTGTTTCAGAACATACAATGTCAAAGGACTATCAGTATGTTGTTCTATATCACTAAAAGTTTAAAACACCTATAAATTTAAAATATTTAGCATAAAGACCAAAGGTTGTTCAGGTGTATGACTTAAATAGGTCCATTTTGACGAGTGTAAACACCTGTCATATGTTGTAACGGTGAAATAAATGATGTTGCAAATTTAGTGATGTTGACCGAGACTATAGTAGTATGTCTATCAACCTTACCCATCTGGCTGTAATGGTGGCTCAACAGCAGCTAGCAAAGGAAGAATAAATGGGTGGAAAATTCTGGATGTTATCATTTCCTGAAAATATATAATATGATACCATGATTTTAATTCAATGCTTTAATGAGGTAAAAAAGTATGATATATCTGCCAAGCATGAATGCTTGAGATTCCACATCGGTACATACTTATGCCATATGGTACTGACTAATATGCCATATCCCAATTCCACATTGGTATGGACTTATGCCATATGGTACCAGCGCTTGAGCTAGGGGGTGACTTGGGCAAAGAATTGCCTTCTGATTAGCGACTTTACCTAAAACAAACTTTAAAGTGATTTTGAAGTCGCCCTATTTTTTTAATGATCTGTCATACCTATTTACGATGCTAGGTCTATTAATAATTTATTTACTTCTCAATTACAACCAATAACTGTTAATCCACTAGTTAAGAATGTGTATCAACATCAACAAAGTCTAATACATGCCACAAGGCAAGAGTTCACTCTGTATATCTTTCTCATTATGTATTCATGCGATTGACGAATCAGAATGCTCGTTGTATCTACGGATCATTTGTGCAAAGTAATTTTAAAACTTTTGAATTGGCAATAAGCTATAGAGCGGATATGAAAAATAGATGTTTTACATTTGACCTTCAAGTGCGACCCTGACCTTCAGGGTTGTGACTTGATTATTGTGCTCTGCAAATGGTGTCATAATGGTGGTCATTTCTGCCAAGTTATCTTAAAAACATTGCAGCGGTTTGAATGTTATGGAGTGGACATGAAATGCAGACTTTAACACTTGACCTTTAAGTGTGACCTTGGGGGTAGCAACCAAATTATTGCCCACTGCACATCATCTCATAATCTTGTGCCAAGTTATTCAAAATTTTTAAGCAGTTTTAAAGATATGGAGCAGACATGAAATATTGACCTTTTACGCCTATAAGTGAAAACTTTACCTTGGGGGTAGCAACCAAATCATTGGACTCTGCACATGATCTAATAATGGTGATCAATTGTGCAACTTATTTCTTAAATATTTCAGCAGTTAAAAAACTATGGAGCTAACACGAAATGTAGACTTTTTAACATTTGACCTTATAGTATGACCTTAACATTTTTGGTAGCAACCCAATTATTGCGCTCTGCACATCGTCTTATAATGGTGATCAGCTGTGCCAAGTAACTAAACAAGATTGCATTTGAGAAAAATGCTATGCCACCGCATGGTTCAAATTTTATAGCTGTACATCAAAGGACAAGAAAGTAGGTCACATCATCAAAATCTAGGTCAAAGTTCAATTTTACAACTAAAACTGTGCACATGGTCAAAATGTCATTGCTGTACATCAAAGGACAAGAAAGTAGGTCACTGTCCCCTTGGGCAAGGCATAATTTTGACCCAAGGGTTTAATAACAATCTTGATACAGGTCCACCAAACAACATTTCAAGTCAAATATCTAAGCTATAGCTTTCTCCCATTCAGAAAACATTTGTTTTATTTTCTGTTTTTACTACGTGTACATAATGAGAATCACTGCCCCCGGGCAGGGCCAATTTTTGACATTTGAACAACTTTGGTAGAGGACCTATAGATGATATTATATATCAAACATCAAAGGTCTATGCCTTGAACCTTCAGATAAAAAAAATTTTTTCACTATATGTACATAATGAAAATCAATGACCCCCGGGGCGGAACCAATTTTGACCCCAGGGCTATAATTTGAACAATCTTGCTAGAGGTTCACTACACAATGTTTCATGCAAAATATCTTAACTTTATCCTTTGTAAATTTAGAGAAGATGATTTTTTAAGTTTTAACTATATACATATAGGATAAACCTATGGCTCCCAGGGGCGGGGCTTATTTTGACACAAGAGGCAAAATTTGAACAACTTTGGTAGAGTACCTTTAGATGATATTATTTAACAAATATTAAAGCTCTAAGCCTTGTACCTTCAGGCAATAAGATTTTTTGATTTTTTACTATATGTATATATTGAAATCAATGACCCCCAGGGCGGGGACAATTTTGACCCCAGGGCTATAATTTGAACAATCTTGCTAGAGTTTTACAACACAATGTTTCATGCAAAATATCTAACCTTTAGCATTTGTCAATTGCTAGAAGAATTTTTTTAAAGTTTTTACTATATACATATAAGGAAAACCAATGACCCCTGGGGCGGGCCGATTTTGACCCCAGGGCTATAATTTGAACAATCTGGGTAGAGGTCTACCAGACAATGCCTTATACAAAATATCTAAGCTCTTAGCCTATTGGGTCTTTACAAGAAGGTGTTTTAAGTTTTTACTAATTATGTACATATAGCGAAAATCAATGACCCCCGGGGCGGGCCAATTTTGACCCCAGGGCTATAATTTGAACAATCTTGTTAGAGGTCTACCAGACAATGCCTTATGCAAAATATCTAAGCTCTAGGCCTTTTGGGTCTTTACAAGAAGATTATTTAAATTTATTCTTATTATTCCTTTTGGTTGCCATGGCAACCAGATTTCTGCATGGAATGAAATTCTTTGAACAACTTTGGAAGCCCTTCACCCAAGGAACAATCCTGCCAAGTTTGGTTGAAATTGGACTAGTGGTTTTTCACAAGAAGATTTTTTAAGTGCACTATATAATCTATATAACACACACACAAACACACACACACACATACATACACACAGGTGAATCGCTATATGCCACCGCAAAAAAAATTAAGCGGTTAAAAAGTTATGGAGCAAACACGAAATGTAGACTTTTTAATATGAAATGTAGACTTTTTAACATTTGACTTTTAATATTACCAGCAAGTGCAGTGATTTTTTTTTTCAATTTTTAAAACAACCTGCGGCTTTCTGGCCCTAGATCACTCACCTGACCCATCAAACTCATCCGAACAATTACCGAGAAACATTCTGACCAAGTTTCATGACAGGTGAGTCAAAAATGTGACCACTACAGTGTTAACAAGGATTATCCATATTTGAGCAGTGTGACCTAGTTTTTTACCCAGGTGACCCATATTCAAACTTGACCTAGAAATCATCGACACAAACTTTCAGGCCAATTTCCAGGATACTTGGATCAAAAGAGTAGCAACTAGAGTGTTAACAAGATTTTAGCTCCGGTGACATAGTTTCACATGCAATTTCAAACTCATCCAACCAATTACCTACCTAGACAAGAAACATGGCAATGCCATGAAACCAGGTTTTCAATTATCACCATTGTAGATAAATATGTTGTATTTGAAATACAAATACAAGCAACAAACAATGTAACTATGTGTAATGTAAAACATGAATAATGTAGGAGGATTTGCCACTGAAGAAGTGTTCACTATATATACTATATAAGGAAAAAAACAAGGGCCATAATTAGGTAAAAAATTATCCAATCACAAAACCCCGACAATATGTGCCAGGGCGCTTGATGACAAAGCTTCTGTGAAAGTTTGAACAAAATCCGTTGAGAAATGTAGGATAAGTTCAGCACAGAAGAATTTGTTCACTATATATTGATAATTCTGTATAAGGAAAAAAACAAAGGGCCATAATTAGGTCAAATATTATCCAATCACAAAACCCCGACAATATGCGCCAGGGCACTTGATAACAAAGCTTCTGTGAAAGTTTGGTCAAAATCCGTTTAGAAATGTAGGAGAAGTTGTGCACGATAGAAATTGTTCACTATATATTCTGTATAAGGAAAAAAAACAAAGGGCAATAATTAGGTCAAATATTATCCAATCACAAAACCCTGACAATATGCACCAGGGCACTTGATGACAAAGCTTCTGTGAAAGTTTGAACAAAATCCGTTGAGAATTGTAGAGGGAGTTCAGCACAGAAGAAATTGTTCACTATATTTTCTATATAAGGAAAAAAAAACAATGGGCAATAATTAGGTCAAATATTATCCAATCACAAAACCCCGACAATATGCCCCAGGGCACTTGGTGACAAAGGTTCTGTGAAAGTTTGGTCAAAATACAGGGGGAAAATGTAGGAGGACTTGCGCACAGAAGAATTTGTTAACTATATATTCTTTATAAGGAAAAAAAACAAAGGGCTGTAAATAGGTCAAATATTATCCAATTGCAAAACCCCGACAATATGCGCCAGGGCACTTGATGACAAAGCTTCTGTCAAAGTTTGGTCAAAATCCGTTGAGAAATGTAGGAGGACTTGCGCACAGAAGAAATTGTTCACTATATATTCTATATATGGATAAAAAACAAAGGGCCATAATAAGGTCAAATATTATACAATCGCAAAACCCCGACAATATAACCCAGGACACTTGATGACAAAGCTTCTGTGAAAGTTTGGTCAAAATCTGTTGAGAAATGTAGAAGGAGTTGCGCACAGAAGAAATTGTTTACGCCCGCCTGTACGCCCTCCCGCCCATCCGCCCGCCAGCCCGCCGACATACCTCAATCTAACAACCAGTTTTTTCCTTCTGAAAACCTGGTTAACAAGCATCCTGACCTACTTTGATGATATTTGAGTCAAAAATGTGACCACTAGAGTGTTAACAAGGTTTTTCCATATTTGGGCAGTGTGACCTAGTTTTTCATCCGAGATGACCCATGTTCGAAGTTGGCTTAGAAATCATCAAAACAAACTTTCAGACCAATTTACAGGATATCTGGATCAAAACAGTAGCCACTAGAGTGTTAACAAGATTTTTCTATTTTTAGCTCCTGTGACCTAGTTTTTCATCCGAGATGACCCATGTTCGAACTCATCCGAGCAATAACCTAGACAAGTTTCCTGACCAAGTTTGATGACAATTGAGTCAAAATTGTGATCACTAGAGTGTTAACAAGATTTTTCTATTTTTAGCTCCTGTGACCTTGTTTTTCATCCGAGATGACCCATGTTCGAACCAAGCTATCACCTAGACAAGCATCCTGATCAAGTTTGATGACACTTGTGTCAAAAATGTGACCGCTAGAGTGTTAACAAGATTTTTCTATTTTTAGCTCCTGTGACCTAGTTTTTCATTCGAGATGACCCATGTTCAAACTCATCCAAGCTATCACCTGGACAAGCATCCTGACCAACTTTGATGATGATTAAGGCAAAAATATAACCGCTAGAGTGTTAATAAGGTTTTTCTATTTTTAGCTCCTGTGACCTAGTTTTTCATCCAGGATGACCCATGTTCGAACTCATCCAAGCTATCACCTAGACAAGCATCCTGACCAAGTTTGATGATGATTGAGGCAAAAATGTGACTGCTAGAGTGTTAACAATGTTTTTCTATTTTTAGCTCCGGTGACCTAGTTTTTCATCCGAGATGACCCATGTTCGAACTCATCCGAGCTATTACCTAGACAAGCATCCTGATCAAGTTTGATGATGATTGAGGCAAAAATGTGACCGCTAGAGTGTTAACAAGGTTTTTCTATTTTTAGCTCCGGTGACCTAGTTTTTCATCCGAGATGACCCATGTTCGAACTCATCCGAGCTATCACCTAGACAAGCATCCTGACCAAGTTTGATGATGATTGAGGCAAAAATGTGACCGCTAGAGTGTTAACAAGGTTTTTCTATTTTTAGCTCCGGTGACCTAGTTTTTCATCCGAGATGACCCATGTTCAAACTCATCCGAGCTATCACCTAGACAAGCATCCTGACCAAGTTTGATGATGATTGAGGCAAAAATGTGACCGCTAGAGTGTTAACAAGGTTTTTCTATTTTTAGCTCCGGTGACCTAGTTTTTCATCCAAGATGACCCATGTTCGAACTCATCTGAGCTATCATCTAGACAAGCATCCTGACCAAGTTTGATGATGATTGAGGCAAAAATGTGACCGCTAGAGTGTTAACAAGGTTTTTCTATTTTTAGCTCCTGTGACCTAGTTTTTCATCCGAGATGACCCATGTTCGAACTCATCCGAGCTATCACCTAGACAAGCATCCTGACCAAGTTTGATGATGATTGAGGCAAAAATGTGACTGCTAGAGTGTTAACAAGGTTTTTCTATTTTTAGCTCCGGTGACCTACCGGTAGTTTTTCATCCGAGATGACACATGTTCGAACTCATCCAAGCTATCACCTTGACATGGATCCTAACCAACTTTGATGATGATTGAGGCAAAAATGTGACCTCTAGAGTGTTAACGAGGTTTTTCTATTTTTAGCTCTTGTGACCTAGTTTTTCATCCGAAATGACCCATGTATGAACTCATCCAAGCTATCAACTAGATTAGCATCCTGACCAAGTTTGATGATGATTGAGGCAAAAATGCGACCACTAGAGTGATAACAACTAAATGTGAACGGACGACAGAGGACGGACAATTATCGATCCTAAAAGCTCACCCTGAGCATGCTCAGGTGAGCTAAAAAGTGGGGAAATCTTAAGTCAAATACCAAAAGCTAAGAATGGAATTAACCCACACATTTTATACATTTTCAATTTCTGTTCAATTTAGCATGCATGGTACATGTACAAAGCAGAGGCTATCTAAAGGGACTTCTAGCTGATATAAGACAGCTGCTGTTAAGTCACAGTTCTGGTAAAGAATATGCACATGGCCTTTCAGGGGAAAATATAAGCGTTTTTAGAGAAAAATATATCTATTTTGGACCAGGGGAAACAGCCTTTATTCGGCTGTAAAATACAGGGAAAAAAAAAATAGTGAAATGTGACCTTAACCTTGTGCGGTAGCAACCCAATTTTTGCACTCTGCACATTGTCTGATTATGGTGACACTTGTGCCAAGTTTTTTTTTTTTAAAATTGAGCGGTTTAAAAGTTATGGACACAAAAGTGTTACGGACGAAAGCAATTTCTATGATACATGGAAGGGGATTAATAACTTGCAGAGAACCCAGAAGATGCTACATGCCATATATCTAGGCTCAGGGAATTCTTGTTTCTGATATTTTTAAATATATAATTTTTACAGTCTTTTAAATCTCCTATGAACTTATTTATGTATCAATCTGGAACCTCTAATACAACTTTTGTAGAAGACCACCTTAAGGGTCATCCCTGTAAAGTTTGGTCAAAATCTATCCTGTGGTTGAGTAGATGTTTTGTTTTAAAGAAATTGTGGAAAACAACGGACAACTAAAAATGGCCATCACAAAAGCTCACCTTTGAGCACCAGCACCTGGTGAGTTACAAAGGATGATAACTTTGCCAAAATGAATTTTAAGATCATCTACCCTTTGAAACATTAAAAACTTAAAAATTAAAGAAATAGCATCTTATATGAAAATAAGGTATTAACCTTTTCCCTTATATAGGCATGTTTCGATGGTTTTTTGTCCCCACCCTCCCTCTTTTTTGAGGCCTCAAACAGTGAAAATGCCCTATTCAGACTCCAAACACTGTTTTTCGTTTGAGAAATGTTGTTAAAAAAAGTGACCACTTTTTCGGTGCAGTCCCCCATCCAAATTTGGGGGGGGGGGTTTTGATGGGGGGGGCCGAAGAAAATTTTGGACATGTGACAGGCTAAAAATGGCCTCAGGTCGATCTTAGGGTAACTAGTTACCGACGCTGAAAAGCCTTTTACTCTATCTCATTTCATTGAGAAGTTGCAGCACTTTGAAATCAGTTCTGATGAAAAAAAACAATGCAAAATAGTGATTTTTGGCAATTTTGAGACATTCCCCTGTTGCCATGGTAACAGGAAATTTAGGATTGAGCATGCTGTTACAGAGACTATAGTCCAGTCAACATTTGTGCGAAGTTTCATCAGTATTAAAGCATTTTTCATAGTTTCATAGCAGTTTGAACTTGTTACAGGAGACTTTTCAATGAAAACGCCCATTTTTTCGCAATATGCTCATGGGGTAAAAGGTTAAATGAGTAGCTTTTATCAGTTCTGAAAAAATGAACCTTTATGAAAAGTTGTGCTTCACAGCATAAAGGCTCCAGGGAAACCCTTCACTGGTTCATTGTCTATTCTAGGAGGGGCGATGGGGGGAATCACCCATATTTTTAAGAATTCAACCCTATTTTTTGAGAGGAAGGGGGAAAATTTTACATAGACAAAGAAGGAAAAAGATCAACAAATGTTATAAATTCTCACTTTTCGATAAAAATCCCCTGTTTTTCGAATCCTAGAATAAACACTGCTGGTTTATAAGATATGAGGTTGCATGTAGAATCTAAGAGATAACAAAAAATGTCGAATGACACATATGCCCCCCCTTTTTAGCCCTTGACTCATATTATTGGTAATTTTCTTATAGAAACATGCTATAAATGGAACATGGAAGTGTTCACTTATGGAAACAAGAACTGGTTGAACCGGGTGATGCTCCCCGAGAAGGTTCTGGACACAGGAAAGTATAAAAAAATGAACAAAGGGCAAAAACTCCAAAATAAGGCAAGGTGGAGTTATGTTTTTTGCATTGCACTTCTATTCAATGAGATCTATCTATCTATAAAGTTTCCTGATGATATCTCTTAAAGATTCAGAGTTATGTTCCGGGCAAATTCAAAGTGTAAAAATGAACAAAGGGCAACTCCAAAATTAGACCAGCTTTGTTTAGATTTTTTAAGCATTGCAGATCTATCCAATGATATCTAGCTACCTACAAAGTTTCATGTTGATATCTCTAATAGTTTAAAGGTTATGTCCCGAACAAAAGTCAAAAAGTAAAAATAAACAAAGGGCAATAACTTCAAAATAAGGCAAGGCAGAGCAATGATTCTTAAGCACTGCACTTCTACCCTATCTATCTACAAAGTTTCATGTTGATATCTCTTATAATTTTCGAGTAATTTCCCGGACAAAGTTCAAAGTGTCAAAATTAACAAAGGGCAATGACTCCAAAAGTAGACAAGACAGTGTTACAGTTCTTGTGCACTGCACACCTACTCAATGAGATCTATCTACCTACAAAGTTTCATGTTGATACCTCTTGTTGTTTCAAAGTTATGTCCCGGACAAGAAAAGCGGACGGACAGACGGACAAGGCAGCGACTATATGCTCCCCCGTAATTTTTCGGGGAGCATAAAAAAGAATGATCAATATATGACCTGAATCTGAATGAAAGCTATCATTAATAAGTTATACAAGTTGGAGGGTAGCTGGAATAAAATATAAATTATCAAACAAATATAACCATTCTGACATTTAAGGCCTCTGTGACCTTGACCTTTGACCTAGGAACCCCAAAATCAAAAGGGGTCATCTACTAGTTATAACCAATCAGTATGTGAAATATGAAGACTTTGTGATATATAGTTTTCCAAAATAATCAGCGGAAACCATGTGGTCTATAGACTGACAGACCGACAAACATTAGCAAAACAATATACCCTTCCTTCTTCGAAGGGGGCATAATAATTATGCTCAAATTTGATATTATAAAATATTGATAATTGCTTAAATATAAAATAAACATGTTTTGACACCACACAAAGAAGATATGTTATGCTTAACACTATAGGTGATCACAATACGTTTAATTGTATATACAGTGTCAATAAAAAAAACTCTCACGTTTTTTTTAAATAAAAGACTTTCCTCAGCTTGACTTGACACAGCTTCCAATATATAGTTAATTCTTTTATTCAAATTAGACCTATTTGGTAAGAATATCATAGATTTCAATAAATTTCTGTAATAAATATATTTTACTCAATGATAAGCATAGTGTAAGTGCTATGCCAACAAAATACCAGGCTGAGCAAAACAGTTTTGTTTATCCTAAAAGCTGCATGTAATTTATAAAGTTGATACCTACCCTTTTTATTGTGTGTGCTATAAAACTATATCTTAAAGGTATATGTATTTTCTTGACAACAACATGTATTCCAAAGTCCTCTGATTTAGATGCACCTGAAGTCATATTTCAAAATAAGAGATACATTAAGAAATAAAACATGTGTTTTTGCTATGGTTTTGCCCTGCTTTGAGTTTGCAAAATTCAATAATTATTACATGGTTTCCAAATCAAAATACAGAAATTGAGCTATAAACACTTAACAGTATAGCTCACAAAGCTTCTGGATCAAGCATTTTATGCAGCTAATAGGGTATACTCACAGAGCAGAGGGGTTTTTGGTTATCAATCTTGACAAAATATAGATACATGTATTGTGGTAAAAGTAAATTTCTTTAATACTAAAACAATATTGTCGTTAATCAAGTGTTTTTTCATTTTATTTTTTGTTGGGTTTGACATGATGCACCAACACTGTAAAGGTCCTAATATTATGGTGACTTTCGAGCTTTTCTGGTGGAAAAAGACCTCAGCTGCCACTCTGTGCATTATTTCCAAACGGGCACCTGAGTTAGAACCACTGACTGACTCTGTAAGCTCACTATATTGTATAATGCCCCTGTCAAAATAAACCTAATAGGCCGCTTCATAGATGGACAAACTTATTCCAGTGTATCTTATTACAATGTTGAATAAAACAATTCATAATTAGTAAGTAGATAGAAAGACATTTTGATAAATAAAATTAAATTAAATTTGGTCATTTGAGAATGTCATCAGGTTCTACAGATTCTAATCAAGTGTATGCTTGAAACTGATATTATTATGGGGATACCTTTAGTCTACTTACACTAAACAATCTTTAAAAATAAAAACAATTTTTCATTTTTTGGTGGGTTTTACATTGCACTAACACAGTATAAGTCATATGGCAACTTTCTAACTTTACTAGTGGAGGAAGGCCAAGGACAACCACCAACGTTCCATAAGCTAGCTGGATAGTTTCCTCACATGAAAGAATCCAAAGTCCCTGTCCGAATTTGAACCCACAGGAATGAGAGGCAAGTGGTTTAAGTTAACGACTCCCCTCATAAATACATAGAAAACTGGAACAAGAATAAACAAAAATAAACTCAAGAAACATACTGCTTTACACATTCAAACAAGCAATTATCATAGTATTGCAAGCAATCCATAAGTCCCCTACCGGTTAGAACCCCAGCAACATTCTGATGGGCCATTGGCCATTCAATTTTACAAGTGAATGAATGACATGAATGAACTTAAATCTTTTGAGTTCTAAGTTTGTCTATATCACAGTAATGTGTTAAGTTTCTTTGCCAAGTAAGGAAATTATGTTTATACAACCTTGTCATATTATTAAGATGTGAAATTATAAAGTAAATCATGTAAGGAATGAAGAAGTTCAAGGGGGACATAATTCTGGAAATAGTCTTGATAGAGTAACTATTTAACCTTCTCAAAAATGTTGAGTGAATAATAAAAAACATATATATGAAGTTTGAAGTAGATACATTAGGAAATAAAAAAGTTATTTAAAAATAATAAAGAAGTTATTTAAAAAAAACAACATTTTTTTTTATAAAAATTCTAAGTTCAAGGGAGGTAATACTGATAATTTTTGTGCTAGAGTTGTAAACCTTGTCACATATGATGTGGTTGCAATCGCAACTACTCTGCCCTTTCCGTCAGTCTTCGGATAAGGACCTCCAACACAATAGTATAAATACACAGAACAGATGCGGTATTTCGGTCTAACCTACGCTAAGAAACTAAACATGTAAACAAATAGTAATTTTATGCTGGGAGTTGTTGACAAGTTTATTTCCAATATATTTAGTAAAAGTCCACCTAAAATAAGTGAATTCATAGGTACAAAAGCAAACAATACATTATTTATATATTTATTATTATGGGTGTAGAAACCGAAAATACAAAAAACCAACATGTTGACATTTGGTCGGATATGTTTAAAATTGAACATCAGTGGGCATATTTAAATTACAAATTGTTGTCAGACATATTTTCAAGCATAAGAGTATCGGAACAGACATTAGATGTCAAATATGTACATTTGTTTTACATTATCTCTGTTTCTGTTTACATATGAAACCACGTGGTAGAACTACTTTCAATCCGTATTGTTTCCGAGGTTATTATAGATAATAGCCCAAGGCAGTTCCGAATGGATGTGGTTGATGACCAGAAACTTATATTTAAAGTTTGAAGTAAACACCTGAAGAAATAAAGAACTTATGGTGAAAAAGCTGAAAAAATTAAAATCAGAAATCTTGAAATTCAGGCTATTTCATTTTGTTGCCATAGCAACCAGAATTTTCAACATAAGAAGAAAAGAAAAAGATGTGCATAATCTCCAGACTGCCATCTACCCATATTTCAAGTTTCATAAAAATATTTTCAGTACTTTTTGAGTTATCACTGGATCCAGTTTATGTGTTAAATTTGCCATATTTTCAGACTATTTGTTGCCATAGCAACCAGAATTTTCTACATAGGAACAAAAGAAAAAGACGTGCATAATCTCCATACTGCCAGAATTTTCTACATAGGAACAAAAGAAAAAGACGTGCATAATCTCCATACTGCCATCTATCCATAAATCAAGTTTCATAAAAATATTTTCAGTACTTTTTGCGTTATCTCGGGATCCAGTTTTGTGGACGGACTGACAGACAGACAGACAGACAGAGGGTAAAACTAAAGTCCCCTCCGGTTAAACCGGTAGGGGACTAATAATGTTATTCTAAAGATTGGTAATTATGTAATTTTGTCTTGTCTTGACTCATTGTATTTGTTTTGTGCACTACGTAATTTTCTTTTCAATATTAAAATTCTATATTTTATGCATAATATTTTATGTCATATATAACTGTAAATTGTTCATAATTATAAATATGTACATTAATTAATGCGGAGATGTTGTTTAAAGTAAAAGTTTATGGAAACAGACAGCGGACGAATTGTGATCACAAAAGCTCACCTTGTCACTGTGTGACAGGTGAGCTAACAACACAACAAAATGATATAAATGTATAAAGTTTTAATGCATTAAACAAATAAGCCCTTTCCAATAATGTTGTAGATTTTATGTACTCACTTTTATATACATTTCCAAATGCACCTTCTCCGATTTTTTCCTTATTTTCTCTTCTTAAATTCTCAATTATATCCTCATTAAGATCAAGTAAACGACCATCATACAAACAAGCATCTTTAAAGGACCTTTGACCCCGATTCAAACTAGACTGACCCCTAGATACAGGTGGTTGACCTCCATCCACACTTGATTGATCCCTAGATACTGAACCCCCATCCACACTTAATTGACCCCTTGATACAGGTGGTTGACCTCCATCCACATCCATTCTTATTTGTCTCCCATCCACACTTGTTTGACCACCATCCATTCTCATATGACCATCATCAACACTTGATTGGAATCCACTGATCCTTTGTGGAATTTCCTGTACACCTTGCAAAGGCTGCGGCTGCCTATTATTAGCAAACTGACCCATACTGTTCCGACTCTCTTGCACACCTTGCATTGGCTCAGAATGCTGAATTGTTCTAAAGTCACCTTCATTAATATCAGACTGCCCAACATCCATTCTCTCTCCTGAAGGAGATTTAATTGTTATATATGAAGGTTTATTTCATTGTACTCAATATATCAATAATAAAATAATCACCAGTAAAATATAATATAAAATTATCGTAAAATCGTCCAAATTAAATTGTCCATTTAATTAGCACTAGATGAAAACTCAACCAGTTGATCATACATTATTTTTGACTAAGAATTGATAATCATTTATTAGAAATTCATATCTAATTAACCTTAGATGCTACAACGTACATAGGGCAATCAAATGCATTATTACATGATATATGCACAGCATAAAAAAGGAATGCTTACATGTCATATGACATCAATAAACCACTAAATGACATCAGGAAAATTACTTCTGCACTCAATGTATTTCAACATATTTTTATCAATTTTCATTTTTATTAGCATGTTAGGATGGAAATAGATATTTAATTTTCTTACAATATAGTATAATACAGTTTATGGTTTAAATGCTTTGAAATCAATCACTAAAGCCTATTGACCTTCATGATTATATTCCTACACATTTGAATTCGAACCATGCAATAATCCACAATAATGCACTCAATGCATTAAATCTACACCTTGAGATTATTAGAATTTTTGTTATTTCTTGTAAGTATAATTCACATGTACTTGATACATTATCAAAAATTTAAGGTTTTCACTAATGCAAAAACATTATCAGGCTATATAACACTTCTTCTTTAAAAAAAATAAGTTAATAATACTTATTGTATCAACTTATTCTAAGTCTATACTACCATCTAAATGCAGCAAATCAAGTTAGAATAATGAAAGTGTCATGCCTCAGAAAACAAGAGAGCCATGATGGCCCTAGATCTCTCATCTATAGTATTATACATGATTAGAAAAGGTCACAATATTAAAAAAAAAAAACAACAGTAATTTAATCACATTGGCTGAGTCAGTTTTGTTCACAAATGCACATTTTTTATAGAACATTAATGTAGAGGTTCTCTAGAAAATAATAGATTGCATTTTTAACAAGATTTTACCTATAACACTCAGAATCAATTAAGTGACCCATGGGGCAGGAACCTGTGTAATTTTTCATACAATGATACATTATTTTTAACTCTAGGGGACTTTTCAGATGTTCACAAGGCAATGCTACATGCTAAATATCTAAGCCCTCAGAGCACTGTAGTTTCTCAAATGAAGACAAAAATATTCTATATAAATTAAAAGACCACTCAAACTATTGGCCTTTGTGATTTTATTCCTGCCCATTTGAAATTGAACCATGCATTATTCTACAACAATTTCCTAAATAAAATAGAGTGACATATATATCTAGTAGTCTAAGTATTACCTAAAGCTTGCTGTTGCTGAGTTTCTGGACGCTGGTATCCTGTTCTACCTAAACAAGTAAACAATTTTCTTTACTTAAATTGTAATGAAAGATAAATCATGCAGAGACTTTTAATATATGAATTTTTAATATTATATAATTCTATATATTTAGCTATTCTAAATGGGAAAAAAGTTTTAATTATGTGTTGGAAAATGTCTTGATTTATAACACCTTATAAAACAAAGTCACATAGTTTAATGTTTGTTTCTCAAGTTATTTACATGTAAGTCAATGACAAATTTGTTAATGACTATAACTGTGATTTTTTATTTAAAGTTGTGAAAAAAGACACTTTTCTGCTTTTTGAATGGGACCCTATTTCAACCTAAAACTGCACAAGGCCAATATCAGAACAAGTTTGGCAAAGGCCCACATTGTTTCATGCTAAATATCTCTGACATCTCTAAAATCTATGGGTTCTGGTGAAGATTTTTCATCTTTAACTATATTAAACTGATGATCCCCGGGGCAGGGTCAATTTTGACCCCAGAACTATTATTCTTATAATTTTGGTTCCACTTCAAAATTTAAGCCAAAATTACCATTGCTTGTTATGGAGAGAAGATTTAAAAGTTTTAACTATAGTACTATACATGTATGAGGGCTGATTGATAAATTCACAGAATTAAAAAACCATATTACTTTATTGAATTACTAGTACATGAAAACTTGAATAGAGGTAAACCAAAATGTTTGAAAATTAATTACATTTCCATACTGCCGAATAATATATCAAAATTTGCCTACAAATACACAGTCATGTGCCCATAGCAAACCACTGTCCTGTGACTTGAAGCAAGCTGTTTTTAAAGTATACATTATATAGCATAAAATGTCACTCTGGGAAGAAAATTTAAGCAAGATTGGTGCTAACGCGTGTATTGTTGGTATGACGTCTTGACATCATTTCCTGTAAATTTAAAGACAATGTATTGGATGGTTCTTTCGCAGCAGCGTTAACCTCAATGTCTACCAAATGGAGAATGACGTCAGCAGATGACATTGAATTACGCGTTGTCATCAAGTTTTGTGTGGGACTGAAACTTTCACTGAGCTAAACTCTAAACATTGCCTACTGGTGGAAAGACATTTGTGTATAAATGGCATGAGCGATTAAGAGAAGGAAGGACATCAATGTATGATGACGAAAGAACTGGTCGTCGGATGTCTACAGTAACTGTTGGAAAAACAGCCTTTAAGTGAAAGAACTGCTGGACGTTGACAGGCAGGTTACGGTGCAGAGTTATATATTTCTATAAATACGTGTAGAGCTAGCCGGTTCTAATATTTTAATAGATATTGTTTATTTAATTTTAGAAAATTTGTTTTAAAGTATTGCTGTAATGCAGTCGTTGTGCGTTATCAACTTTCAGGTGTTACGTCGGGACTTTGTACAAGCCTTGCGCTGGAGGCGACCTCAGCTAGACCTGGACGATGTTATTCTACACCATGATAATGCCCCCCCACACGGGCTCAAGACAAAGAACTGGATATTAGCCTGCTCGGGTTTCAGTCTACTGCCACACCCCCCATACTACTCGGACTTGGCTCCATTAGACTTCTGTCTGTTCCAAAGAAGGACCTGAGGGGCCAATGATTTGAAACATCATTAGAGCTATGCACCAGGGCGCACATTTGGACAGCTTCTTTGTTCAGTTCAGACTGGTTTAAAGTAACTTTTGACCAATGGATACACAGGCATAAGAAATGTGTCGCCACGGGAGGTAATTACATTGAAAAAGTGAACCGGACATTAGACTTTGATGTTAAGTTGATGTCAGTGTGTGACAACTTCGCATCTGCGGACTTCAAGTGTAGGATAGTGTTGTGTTTTGATTTTGCATGTAAACTTTATTGTTCAATATATCTCAATGATTTATTTAGCTTTTTGTCAGTCGAGAGTAAAGGTATCTCGTGGTGTAATTTATTTTTTAGTTTTTCTTTAAATGTTTAAGAAATAATACAATTCTGTGCACGTACATGTATTAAGAAATTTATGACCCTTTAAGAGGGGCAAATTTTGACCCCCAGGCTATAATTTTAACAACCTTGGTACACATGTAGCTTTCCATTAGGCCATGTCTTTTTTATTTTTACTTCCTACAATATACAGATAATGAAAACCCAGTCCTTCTTCCCAGGTTTGGGCTAATTTTGAACTCATGGCTATATCTTAATCTAAATTGGCAGACAGCCACTACTAGATAATGGTTCATCCATAATATCTAAGGTGTATGTATTGTTCTTTCTGAGATAATTTTAAAATTCTTTTAAGTTTTTAGCTCCTGTTACCTTCTGGTGCATCAGACTCGAACCATTTCTATTATCTTAATGTTAAAGGTCATCTATTGCTAAAAATCATTCCAGTGTAGTTTCCAGAAAATCTTTCAAATGGTTAAGGAGTATATGTTGTTAATAGACAATGTGGATAATGACAAATGGCGGCAGATAAATTTTTAAGAATGTACACACTGCCATCACAAAAGCATACCTCTTACGCATTCTATACTCAGGTTAACTAAAACATTATACTGGTGCTTTAATTGGAACAAAACTGGTAATGATCAGCCCATTAAGTTCATTACAATATGAATTTGATTGTTTAAGGGATTCAGACTGAGTCCACTCTTCGGCCTAGGGCCGATAAAAGTCACAAATGATTAGGGGGGTGGGGACAACTCAGTATGTATATATCAAAGGCAATATCTTTTAAGAAATAGCATGTTGTTTTAACCACCATAAGGCATTGAAATTGGGAAAACATCAGGGTTTTTTCCTTCAAGTGGAAAGTCCCTGAATATCTGCCCAATGTGCTTAAAGGAAAAAAGCTCTGGCATTAAACTTATATGTTTAAAGGTTTAACAATTTTGTTACTTTGATGACCCATTTGAAGGAGATGACAGAATGTTGATAGATGACCACCAATGGTCAAACTATTGGTCCTGAATATAAAATGTGACAGCTTTTTATTTTTATTCTGGCGACCCTAAAAAAGGGGCCCATTTTTTGTGATAAATTTAGAAACTTCTCCTGCCCATCGGGAATTTAATTTTCTTTTTTTTAGTGACTGTTTAAAAAAAATATTCTTTAAATTTTTTTATATTTAAAAAATTAGAAACGTTTTTTTTTTAGGGGTTTTTAAAACTAAATTAAAAAATTTTTTATGTTTTTTAAATAGATATTAAACAGTAAACTGAATAAAAAACTCCCCCTCCCATGCTCTAAATATCCTTAAAGGCATTTTGAGTTTGTCAAAAATTTTCGTTCCAAAAAATTGTCCCCAGACGTACCAGTTTTGGTACATTGAGTGAAATAAATGGGGCCAAGGGATGGGGTTCACTGCTTTGTGTACCCCATTTGTAAAGTAAATAATAAACACGCTTTTAACCTTTGTCTATGATCATCTTTTATCTGCTCTACTGTAGCTGTTGAGTTTCTCTCTATAAGGAAAGGTGCTAGCATTTCCCAATTGGAACCAATGCATTCTGAAATTTGATTCAGATCCTTCTCAGATGCAGCTTTTGCTAAAGCAGCTGAAATATAACATACTTCATTTTTAATTTTATAACTTAGACAATGAAGAAACAAGATTTCAATGGTTGCTTTGGAATGTCAATGACTGCTATGAAATGTCAATGTAAATCAATGGTTGTTATAAGGAAGCTATGGAAGTTATTGATTTATTTAACAATTTTGACACCTGGGCTATAGTATGAGTAAGCTTTGTAGATGTCCACTTATACAATGTTTTATGCCAAATATGTAATCTCTAACATTTGAGTGCTAACAGAACAAGCTTTTAATTTTTTTCAATATGCAAAATTAATAAGGAAAATCCCTTGAAACATGACCAATTTTGACCTCAGGGCCATCACTTGAACATTTCCCCTTGGTAGGGTAAAACTAGAACAATTTTTCATGACTTAAAATCCCCTTTTTGATTTCAGAGGATAAAATTTTTTTTTTAATTTTTTAAGTTTTTTACTCCCAAAACAAATAAAAAAAAAGGAAAAAATGGATGCCCCCCCAAAACCCTGTCCCATCGTCAATCAAGGTTTTAAAGAAAAATTTTGAAAAAACCAAAGGTACAAATATTATAAAATTTTGGGATACACATTGTTTGCCACCCCCTGTCTTTTTTTAGGGGTCTTTTTACTTGTGACTTTTTTAAAAAGAAAAAAGGGAAAATTAAACCCAAAAAAATAAATTTAAATTTAAATTCCCTTTTTAAAGTTTTGGTTTCTATTTTTGAATAAAAAATACAAGCAATGTACAATTAACTATTTGGTATAAATTTTTATGTGAAATAAGAAAAAAAAAATAAGCAAGCATTCTGTTCTGTAAACCCATAAACTTATTTTACACGATTTAGTTTGAGACATTTCTTTCCTTAAAGGGACTCCACTGAGGTTTTTTGACATGGGTGGGGACTGAAAATATTTTTTGCAGATAAATGTACCATAGACACTAATCTTTGTGCAAAATTTCAGATCAATATGCGCACTTTTGTTTTTCTAGAATAATTATTCAAATTTTAAAAAAAATGACCCAAAATGAAAAGCGCTTAATAGCTTTTCACTCAAATTGGGCTAAGAAAAAAATTAACTACGATTTTTTCAAATTTATTTCAAAGTATATTTCTTAATATTTAAAACTATCTTTGCATATTATTTCCTGTTTAAAAGTGCCCAATCTCATTTATGTAAGAAATTCAAATGTTATGTTTTTAGGCTTTTAAACCTCAGTGGAGTTCCTTTAACTCCAGTTACCAATTTTTCTATTTTTAGTAACTGTGACATTGACCTTGATCCTAGAAAGGGAGGGCCGGGTGTGTGCGTGCAATCCAAAATGAAGTCATTACATAAGCTTGCTTTACATCAAGTGTTCATTAAGATAAGTCAATCTGAACGTTAGTTATTGGCTGGAAATACATTTTTCAAAGTATTTTTCAGTTGAAGAAATGAAAATTCTTGGTAATTATGTAGCAATTTCATGTCTGAACAAAATTCAGTAGGTCAATATCTACGATATTTACTTGCTTCATTATCAATAATTCATGCCATGCTATATTAAGTACTTCCTACTACTTTTATTTTACTGTATGATGAAACAGTATTTTTTTTTCCCATCCAATAAAGCAGAAAGATATAGATAGCAGCAACATTAACTTTTAACTACCTTTCACACCATAAATTTACATACAATGTATTTTTTTTTCATTTAAAGGGGCCCTAAATTATTGCTGCAATTAGGTGTAATATTGATTTTTCTATGAAAAATCATTTTAAAAGCTGATTATGAATGCCACTTGGAGCTCTGATACATCGGACTGGTAAGATACATAATTTTTTATTTGCCTTCCTACTTGTGAGCCCTGATGATCAATTAATGTGCCAAACAAATTATTTCAAAATGATTACTAATCTAACTTTATATCTGCCAGCTTGGAGTTTTTACCCAACATAGGCAGGGGTACATTTCATATAACAATTCACTAAATAAAAGGGAATATAATAAAATTAACAAACCAGAGGGAACGAAATTCACTGCCATTTTCCTGCTATACTTAGGTAAAGGTTGTAAAACTGGACCCTGCAAGAAAAAAAATTAGCAGTGTTTAACTAATAGTAAAATCTTAAAATCAAAACACAGGGGAAAAACTTTACCTAAAGACAAGAGCCACCAACCCAGGCAGGGGGGTTACACTCAAATTTCTCCTCTATAGGTCGAACCCATTAAAAAGAAAAGAAAATTGAAGAAATATACTGCCCTAGAAAACATAACTGTCTTAAACAATTATTATTCAAATTTTCATATTTGACCTTAAGACATTCAAGGTCACATTTAAATTACTGTAATCATTATTGCCAGATTTTTTGTAATAAGTGTTCTTTTGTCCCCAAGAATGAACCAATCAATTAATTAACAAAGTTATAATATATTGACTATTGAAGGTCAATTTAATGGTTCAAGGTCATATCAAATAATTCAATATTTGTCAAAAGCATTATTTTTGTTATATAGATTTATTATAATAGAATCAACCCAAATTTCTTCGAACTCACTTGTTTTCATTGTATTAAGATTATTATGTTTGCCAAAAGACACATTGTCTTTTGTTGTGAAATGTTGTGCCAAATTAGTAATTTCAAATTTCTATTGAAAAAAAGTTATGGACCTATTGGACACAAAATTGTTTTTACCATACCCTATTAAACAGACCCACGATTCTGGCAAGTAATTCAAAATCACTTGATCTATAAAGAACATTGTTGACTTTTTAAATCACCAAGTGTAAACTTGTGGTCCATGTACATGTAGGAAGACAATCTATTCATTCTTTAACCCAAATTAGTCAGTAGGATAATGGGCAAAAATCAAAAGTACAGTTCAATATATTGACTTTCAAAGGTCAGAGTCTTTTATGAGTTAAGGTAAAGCTAAGTTGAGACTGGGTCAACTTGAAGATCTTGTATAAAGGTCTTCAAATATGAAAGCAAATCAGTGTTAACATCTACATCATACTGCAAAATTAACAAATCAATTCTGATTATGACTAGCCGAGGCACGTTGTCAGGTGAACTGTTAATAAAAGACATTATTTAATATGCAAATTTATAAAGTTAAAAAGAATAAAAGTTCTACAAGACTATTAATTTAAAAGACATAAAGTGTGATTTAGAATTTATAGAATGGGTCATGCCTCTCAGTAAAGATGTGTTAAAAACTGGGGCTAGACTGAACAGTTTGAGGAAGGCTATTCCAAAGATGTATGCTCCTAAGGAAAAAAAGAATTTTTGATGATATTGTTCCTCGAGTAGGGTATCTGAGGTAGGTTTCAGATTTCTTGTTTCATTAAGGTGTTTCAGGTGTGGTCAACAAAAAACATAATGTTGTCTGGATTTTATACCAGTTAGGTTACAGCACTGATGTTTCGAACGCTGTTCAAAGGGTTGCCAGTTTAAGATCATTTATCATTTTGAAACAACTACTTGTATACAGTATATAGTCTTAGTCATTAAAAATATATTTAGGAGCAGCTGATCTTGGACTTGCTCTATCTTCTAAGTTAAGTACTTCTACCAAGGATGCCAAACTATGGAGCAATATTTCCAACCTGAGGTCTAACATAGGTCTTTATTATTCAGTTTCCTAATCTTTTTTATTTGGGGTTTACCATTTCTTCTAATGAATATAAGGGAGTTATTTGCTTAAATGTAATATTGTGTTATATATATAGATTATAATATATGCCATAGAAAGGTCTTGAACTAATGGTGACTCCTAAGTATTTTGCTTCTTGGGGTTGAGTTTAGTTGGATGTTATGGAGGTATAAGAAAATATTACACTGGGTTTTCTTTTTTCTTGTTATCCTAGAACTTCACAATTTATCAGGGTTAACTTCATTAAATTGCATTAATCAGTGTTCTTTTTAAACCAGACTACATGTAAACCAAATGTACTTTCTATTGATTTATAGAAATTAGATATTAAAGTAGAGTTTAAAATGTTAGCTACGTGTGATTGTTGTCATGTTTTTAACCTCATAAAAAATCCATTAGTTCATTAATGATATGCATAGCCCTGGGCCAGTGTGAAATTTGCGTTGAAGAGTGCTAAATTGACCTCTTTACACACCAATCTTCCTAATAGGCCTATTACTTATATTCCAATTAAAAATTCCAATTTCAAAAACAAAGTCCATAAAACTATATAGCATATTATGGACTTGTTTTTTGAAATTTTGGAATTTTTTAATTGGAATATATAATATTAGGAAGATTGGATGTGTAAAAGAGGTCAATTTAGCACATCTTTCAACGAGAAAATTTCACACTGGCCCAGGGCCTAATGCTGAATATGTAAATTTCTAAACATATTTTAACTTTTCTACTTTCGTTTTCGCAAGATCTAACATCACAAAATTAAGCAATACAGTTTTACATGCAATTATATAAAAAATAAAAAAGATAATAGTAATTTCCCGTCGTTTTTCTTTACCCTCCCTACCGCAGAATTCCACCACCTTCATTGTTTTTCCAGTTTCCGGCCATTAAAATTTTTATGTATCGTGACGCTAATTTCGTCAGCAGCTTTTAGTGCAACCCATTTATTAATCGGTTATTCTTCTGATATGCCGTTTAATGTACTGCGGTAGGCAAGTAACACCTCACCCCCAGACACTTCAACCCTCAAATTTTTGAAGACACTTCACCCCTTAAGACACTTCACCCCCCAAAATCAGTAAGACACTTCACCCCTCATCCAATTTTGTTCTATAAAGTAAATAAAAACAAGTTGGTCAACAACAAAATGCTTATATATGTTTATATTTATTATTGAATTACGGACACTTTTCGGACCACGGACGTTTCGGACCAGACATTTCGGACCAGATTTTGGGTCATTTCGGACCCGATTTTTGGGACATATCGGACCATGCGATGGTCATTTCGGACCATGATGGACCACTTCGGACCAGAACATATATTCCTTTTATATATAATTATTTGTTATTTCAGGATGTATTTACAATATTTGACATTTTTATATTTTATGATATTCAAAATGCATGCAGTAAAGACCTGTCCGACGCGATTTTAACATTTTCTGATAAGCTTATATTACCATTGTTTTGACTTTCCATGTAAAATATTTATATCGTAATTCTATCGTAATTCATTTATGTATTTCTATACGCTGACAATTTTTTAATATTGAAAAAAAAATTAAACAATAATAGAATACCTTTAGATCTATATTGGTAAGCGTAGGATATACGCTGAATTTACATATTTAAAGTCAACTTCATCCAAATTAAATCGTGATCTAGCAGGTATTAAAGAACAACGACATTCCTTGTCCGAAATGTCCAACACATGGTCCGAAACGTCAAATATCTGGTCCGAAGTGTCCCAAAATCTGGTCCGAAGTGTCTGGTCCGAAATGTCCATGGTCCGAAATGTCCTATTACCTATTATTTTAGTATTATTTTGATTAAAAATTTTCATATTACCTTTATTTTTACTAAGTTTAAAAGCTGATTTAGGTAAATTGTTGTATTGCCAAATATATATCACAGCACTTTCATCCATTAAGTTTTTATTGCATGTCACCTTGTTTATTCCACATGTTGATTAGTTGTTTATTCAATGTTATCTCACAATTGATTAGATAATTGAATTAAAATGGTATAATTGTATGAAAATTAAATTTATTCTTAATAAATAAATTAAATAAATAAATAAAATGAATATAAATGAATATGAATGAATGAATCAGTTGCTTTATAAAATATAGTAAATATGAATTATTTATCATCATTATCAGACACAATTATCCTGCATTTAATACAAAGATCATTCATAACGTCATTTAAAAACAAATAAAACAACTCAATCACTATTGAATGTATTTAACATAATCTACATAAATAATTGTTTAACACAAAATTAAAAAAATGAGGGGTGAAGTGTCTCAATCAAATTTCTTAAAATGAGGGGTGAACTGTCTGAGGGGTGAAGTGTCTGCAAAAAAGGGCCTGATTTCAGGACTTTACACCTCCTGGACGTTTCACCTTTGGTCTTTACACCTCCTAGACGTTTCGGCTACTTTTTTATATATAGTATTGTATACTGTATGGATTAAAGGGACTCCACTGAGGTTTAAAAGCCCAAAAACATAACATTTGAATTTCTTACATAAATGAGTTGGGGCTCTTTAGACAGAAATATATGCAAAAGATAGTTAAGAAATATACTTTGAAATAATTGAAAATCGTATGTATATGCTTTTCTTAGTCCGATTTGAGTGAAAAGCGTTTAAACCCTTTTCATTTTAGGTCATTTATTTACAATGTGAATAATTATTCTGAAAAAACAAAGTGCGCAAATGATCTGAAATTTTGCACAAAGATTAGAGGTCTAAACCTACATCAAATGGTAATTTTTCTCACCCTGTGACATTTGGCACCCAAAGAGGGTCACCATGACTGAATACAGATCAGAGTTAAATTCACATTGCTCTGTAACTCTGTGAAATTTGAGGACGAATTTCAATATAGCAGGGGAGTATGTCACGGTTCAGAACTGTTCACTATATAGGGGAGAAAATGTGTAAGCGGCCGGATAGCTCAATCGGTAGAGCCGCCATACGGTATTCCGAGGGTCCCGGGTTCGAGTCCCGGTCAGGCTGCACATTTTTCTCACCCTGTGACACACTTCTAAAGGTGCTAATTTAGTAATTAATTAACCAGTGTTTATAATGCTTTATTAAAAAAAATTTCACACTTCTAATTGTTCTTATGATTATCTGTTATATAAAAACATATTTTAATTAATCAATATCTTTTTATGGTATTTAATTTTTGGATAACTAAAAAAATGAATAAATATATATCCTGTTTTCTCGTATTATCGTGGGGCTAAGGACTTAAAACTTGGTTGGATATTTTTTATAAAACATTTTGGTATATTATTTTTTAGCCTGATACCCAGAAAAATATCTCTTTAAGAAAATATAGTGGAAGAAAGATCGGAACCGTAAGCAAAAC